GGTAACTGAAATATCTTGTGTCAGCTTAGCAAGTACACTACTAGGGACCAGTGCTATGGATATGTTTTCAGGGAATAGGGTGGGCATCAGTGGAAGGAATTCACTTGTAACATTAATTTTCTAGCTAACCACTCTGTTCTCAGTATCTCCCCAGTCTTTTTTAGCATCTAGAATCTCAGGAACTAGTGTGAATTCTATGAACCCCTTCCACCACCACCACAGCAAGCAGGTGTGGAAAGAGGTGCTGTAGTAATCAGTAAGAGTTGTAGTAGCAATAACAATGGTCATCACAATATTTTAGCAATGATAATGACCATCATAACTGGCAGTTTTTAGTTGAGAAGACACACTGGGATTTTTAAGACTGCATACAGGGTTAATTTCAGTGCTGGCTGAGATGACCAGCTCTGAGGGCAATACATCTACACTTCTAAGACAGCTAAACAAATTGTCCTTACTGAACATCCTGCAAAGGGGATCTTTGACTAGTGACAGCCATTCTGGTCAGCTCTTCTTGATTGGAAATATCACATGGAGTACAGGGTCAACAACAACTTAATCCTTAATGATACAGTACTGCATTTGTGTTATCTTCACATGAAACATATTTTATATGTTTAAATTAAAGAAGGGAATTATGTGAAGGTAGAACTCCTGATGTGAAGTACAGGAAAATCTGATGAGAAGGGGAACTTTTCAGTAAAGGGGAATCTCATGTGAAGGTGGCCATCTGATTTGAAGAAGAGGACTTTTGATGTAAAGGGGAGGACTGTGATGTGAAGAAGGGAGCAACTCAGAGCTATGGACCAGGAGTCATCTACCTCTGCCAGAATACAGTGGGTTTTGTGCAATGTCTCAGCCTTGGGGTTCCCATTGATAAGTAACATTTACGTTTCTTTACATGTTAGGGTTGTCTTGAGATTTTGCATACTTATAAACTGCGCTGTGACTGAAAAAAGGTTGTGAAACACTGTACTAAGGCATAGGTTTGTTATGATGTAAATGAATATGAGCTTTAGGATTACACTGTTTGTACTGCCAAGTGTGCAAGGTTTAAAGTGCAAGTTTATAAATTTGGTTGAGGGTTATGGTGTGGGTTAAAGCAAATGTAAACTCTAAATGAATGACATTTAGTTTGCTAAAGCACTGTGTATCATAAAAAATTGCAATTTAATTTTAAAAAAATATATAAACCTGTTTGGTTGGAGCGAGGATACACTCCTACTTGGCTATGTTTCCCCTGCTAAAGCTGTGTAGGAGCGGTTCTTTATTCCTATGTCTTGGTGTTAAAAAAAAAAAACTGTTGTGACATTTATTTTTCCTTCTTTGTTGCATATCATCTTTGATTGCCACCTTTGTAGGCAGTTCATGTCGGCATGCATGCACTCTAGAGATGGCTCAAGGGGTGGGTTTCCTAATGGTGGAAAAAACGTGGAACACAACTGTGCATTTGCACAACCATTTGCAGTCTCCATCAGGACATGTGAATCGGGTGGACAACAACTGATAGGAAGGCACAGAGGGTTGTCACAGTATGTACCTGAACAAGGACTTTATTGCCAGGATCACCAGTTATTATTTGAATGAAGGCTTTTAATTTAAAAATAGTAAACATTCTGTTTGAAATTAAGGATTACAGGTAGAGTTAAACATTTAGCTGACACTTACAGTGTCTGCCACTTACATAATATAATTAATAAAATATGCACCTGCAAAAAAAGATTGTAAGTATTTACCTCTCCCACTACCCACACTGCCAAATGCAGTCCTGATGAAGACCAATCACCGGTCGAGTCTCTTCAGGTGACGCTTCCTGCAGTGTCCATCTCCTGGTCCTCTGCTGCATTCAGTGATTGCTCTCACCAACCCTCACGTCACTACTGGACAAAGCAGTGACATAGCTATTCAGTGGAAGGGACCTCTAGCTATAGTAGCGGTGGCTACATTACAACACACACAGGGACCATGGGGAGCAAAAGGAGCCACCCTCCAAAAGGAAGGACAGTGTCAACATAAATTAGGAGATTATTTGAGAATCTACAACTGTAATACACAAATATGATCCATTTTTGTTAATATTTAAGGTACTGGAATGCATTTGTAACATTTAACTCCTGAGTTTAGTGTAACTTTAAGCTTGCACTTAAAGTATATGTAAACCAAAAATCTTTTTCTTAGTATGTTCGGCTTTCTTAAGCAAATCTTTGTCAATTTGTTGTAGTTTCTTTTCTGGATTCCGGCATTAACAGTACTTCATGTTACAAGCTGACAACACTAAACCACTGGCTCACAATAAGCAGTAGTGTTTGTCAGTCTGCAATGTGCACACCATTAGTTGGACATTAGACTGTCTATCAGATAAACAACCAAATGACCAATTGAAGGAGTGTGCTGATGCTTATTGTGAATCTGTGGCTTAGTGTTGTCAGCCTGCAACAGTAGGTACTTATGAAAACTGCCTTCAGTAAGTCATGTTGCCAAACATTCTAAAAAATAGATTTGGAGTTTACACACAATTTAATGATATATTCTGTATTTACCAAGATACAAACAATAAATGTTTCAGCCCCCTTGCAAGTGTTGTCACAGGTCCAAGATCCAGAACATTTGGTAGAAGAGCTGGGGCCTGTTCCCTAAGTACTGGGGCCAAAGGGATGCTATGGATGGTCAAATCTATTATAAAATTGGACTGCCTAAGTTCAAGTCTATATCTAAGAGGGTTGTTCACAAAGATGCCGAACGCAGCCGAGTGAATAACCCACCTGAAGTGAGCCAAACGCTGTTCGGCTATTCAAATCAGGCTTGTACGGCTGATTTTAGCCGTACATCGGCTGAAATCAGCTGTACATCGGCTTGCTTCGGCTGGCTTTGGTTCAGCCGAACATGCTCGGCTGAGCCGAATTGCAGAAGGAGTTCGACTCAGCCAATCCAACATCTGGATCAGCTGAGCCATAGCTCCGCTAGGTTACTCGCTGCTGTTCGCCCCTATTCTTATAGGGGCCGAATGCCAGTGAGTGAATAGCTGAATGCAGCCAAGCGGCATTCGGCTCGGCTATTCTGCTTGGTACCTCCGTGGTACCGAGCAGAATAGAGAATCAGTGAAAAAAGTAGAAAAAGAAAAAAAGTAGAAAAAAAAGGTTTAAAAATGTACAGGTGAAACTCGAATAATTAGAATATCGTGCAAAGTTCATTTATTTCACTAATGCAACTTAAAAGGTGAAACTAGTATATGAGATAGACTCATTACATGCAAAGCAAGATAGTTCAAGCCGTGATTTGTCATAATTGTGATGATTATGGCTTACAGCTCATAAAAACCCCAAGAACCCCAAATCCACAACCTCAAAAAAGTAGATTATTACATGCAATCAATAAAACAAGGATTGTACATAGAACAATATCGGACCTCTGAAAAGTACAAGCATGCATATGTACTCAGTACTTGGCTTGGGCCCCTTTTGCAGCACTTACTGCAATTAGTTTTGCACGATATTCTAATTATTCGAGTTTCACCTGTAAATAAGTGATAAAGCTTAAAACAATTAAGATTTCTCTAAACAAGAAAAAAAAACAATTAAAAAACAATTGGGCGGAGCTAACTGTTTCCTATTGGCTGGGACCTGCTAGAGTCTTCTAGCAGGTCCCGGCCAATGAATAACAATTGAGCAGAGATAGCAGTGACATCTAGCTCCGCCCAACTGTTTCCTATTGGCCGGGACCTGCTAGAGTCTTCTAGCAGGTCTCAACCAATGAATAGGAATTGGGCAGAGCTAGCAGTGACAGCTAGCTCCATCCAAGTGTTTCTATTGACCGGGACTTGCTAGAGTCTTCTAGCAGGTCCCGGTCAAGGAATAACAACTGGGCGGAGCCGGACATGACATCACAGCGGGCTCCGCGCATTTGTCATTGTTTAATGACAGTTCAGCGTCCCCAGGGAACCTGGGGATGCTGATCTGTCATTGCAACTAGGCAGAGCCAGCCATGAGACCATGGCTGGCTCCGCCCAGCTGTGAGTTGAGAGGCTTTCAGCCGGCCAATGTTCGCCCCGCTCCGGGTGTCACTTCGGCTCAGTCGAGCCGAAGCATATACCTTCGGCTCGGCTGAGCAGCTTGGCCAGCTTCGGAAGCTTGCGGGCTATAGTGAATAGCCCGTACAGCAGCCCTTCGGTTCAATGGCGGCCAAAGCTAGCCGAAGGATGAGCTGGAGCTACGGCTGATCCTACGGCTAACTTTGTGAATAACCCTCTAAGTCCTCTTGGTTATGATATAGACATGTAAATCTATTGTACTATTTTGCTTCCATGCATTTCCACAGCACAAAGAAAAAGCATTAGTGTAATAGGTCCAACCAAGCTGAAATAAATAAATGGAAATTACTAGAAAGATAAAAAGATTGAGAAAACACAGAGTTATTCAGCAAAGAAAGTTAACTTTTCACCATAAGAGTGATGAAAGTTACTTAGGAACACATTAGCAAAATTGTTTATAAAAACGCTTTTGAAAGTGTACAGTGCATGCATTTAAGGACACCAATCATTTTTAAATAACTACATAATTATTAACATCCATTTGAATTCCTGTGCCTAAGTTAACGGTTCACGTTAAAAAAATATAACATAAATTGTCATTCACTTAAAAAAATACAAAAAAAAACCTACTGACAGTATTCTAAATGTTCTTTCAGAATACACAAATACAGAACTCTATTAATTTCTAACCCATTTTTAATAGCACAAGTGTTTTCTTTAGTTACATTCTAGTAGCATATTAGAAACATCTGCTTGCTTGCCACCAGTTCACTGTTAATAGAAAATGTCAGTTCATTTGTCTCAAGGCCCAACATGCTTCGCGATAAGTGTACCAAGGCTATAACCCAGCTGCTATTTCTTGATACAAGTCCAGATGCACTCAACAATCATTTATGTGCAAACCTTTTTCTTGCCAACGATAAATATCAATTTCTTTCTTTTTTTCGCTCTCTCTTTCTTCTTTCCTGTACAGCTCCATCTCCTGTCACAGTAATTAGAAAGGACCGAACCTCAAGAAACAGCATTGTACTATCTTGGCAAGAGCCAGAACACCCAAATGGGATCATCTTGGACTATGAGGTCAAGTACTATGAAAAGGTGGGAAGAATGGCAGGATCGGCAAAATGTTAATGAATTCTATTGTTCTGTCCAAGAATAAGTCTGCTAAACTTGCAAGGTGTTACTGATATGTATTTGTGTGAGGCACAGAGTACTAGACAGAAAATATAATTCACAGATCTATTATAGGTATATGGTTTCACTCTGGCTTGTGTTATGAGAGGTATGGTGGGCTCACGCAAGTCTGTAGAGTTGATAATATAGTATTGCAGTTTGTCTTATGTTAATATGTTTACAGTAGGTATGTGTATCACTCTCAAGTGACTTTAATATGAGTGACTCCTTTAAATTGTATCATTAATGTGGTGATGAGTGATGTAATTGCTTATGTTCAGTCTTTGGTTATGTAATTATTGCAACATTCTTTAGGATCTTTTGGATAATATGTGGAGCAGTATTAGTGGCCTTGGTCAGGTTACAGCTTGAGCATGTTTCCCTTTCATTTGTATTTTTTTTTCTCCTTTCTCATCACTTACCTTTTCTACCTCTTCTCTCATTTCTTTTTTTTTTCTCTGTTATTCATTATTACTCTCATTTCCTCAATGGTCTTCACTTACCCATCCCTTCCTGTGCCCTTCCCTGTTCTCTTGATTATTACTATGTGCTCTACGTTTCCCACATTTTTACTGTTCACATTAGATCACATCAGCCAAAGTTACTTTAAGTTTTGCCCTAGAGTAGGGCATGGGTAAATCATTGTCAGTTTCTTTTTTTTTCTGCATCCTAGGAGATTTTCTTTTACTTTCTGTCCTAGAGATGCATCAGCAAGTGACAGACAATCTCTACAACACAGTTGTTGCCAGAAACATTTGCCCAATTGGTAGAATTACCCGGACCTCTCGTTCTATAAGATTTTGGCTTTCCCATCACTTTCTGTCTCGGTGACAATGGTCACCTAGTAAAATAATCAGGGTGAATATAGCTATCATGGACACAGGCAACAATAAAAACTTGTCAAGGTTTCTAATCCTTCCCCACTCAAGCCGATTCAAAAAATAAAGTTTGGGCTATATACAGTATACACTTCATATCGGCCTCTACTATTCACCATATGAGCCAAAAATGTCATCCTTCTTCATGGTAGGTGCTTGTTGCATGTTTATCTAGCACATGGCTAGATCCCAGATTTATATATTTTACATAAAAGTATTGTCATTATAAGAAAAATCACATAGGCATAAAAATGTTGTTAGTACAGTAGCAACTAGAAAGTTGATGTAACTATAGAACTTATCATATACGTCTGATTTTATTTTTTTCTTATGTTCTATGGAATGGTTAGGAGACCTTGTCAACCCAACTGTGGTAAAACTGAAAGTCCCATGGTAAAACGGAAAGTCCCAATGCGAGTAATCGCTCCCAGAGGCAGAGGCATGATAGGATTTTAAATTTCAGAACAAAGTGACGAGGTTTCCTCCCCCTGATCTATGGGGTTGATCTATGGGGTTGATTTACTAAAGACAAATAGGTTGCTCACTTTGTAAGGGAGTTTGCACTTTGCCGAGGAATTTTCCATTAGCTTGGTGAATGTGGTAACAGTTAATTTGCAAAAAAATAGCCAATCAAGTGCAAGGAAAACTTTTAAAAAACATAATTTTGCTTACCAAGATTGCATGAAGGAAGTCAGCAGACCTTTTTTCACCTCATTCACTTAGCTCAAGGTAAATTGCCAATTCCCTTCCGAAGTGAACAGTTAATTTGCCTTTAGTAAATCAAACCCTACGGCTTGATCACATCTACCAGTTGTATTTCATGTCAAAAGAAGGCAAATCATTATTTTCTGGGCTACAGAGAACCTTTTGCGATGGTTTCAGCATTAATGCTAATCATTTAGGTATTTTTGGGAGAATATGGTATAATTAAATATCAAACTTATAGCGGGAATGAATGCCTATTGTCTCTAAATAAAACATTTCGGCAGACAGAGCATATTAGGTGAAATTAACAAGTAACATTCCAGAGGCTTCATTGTATACTTTTTAAATGCTGGTTGAGTCATCACATTTCATGTGTTCATAATTAGCAAATAATGATCCCTGAGATAAAGTTTCCAAGGTGAAGGATTTCATTAAAGTGGTAAAACAGATATGAGCACATGCAATTGAATCCAGTGTCTGTGCTTGAGTAAAATTACAGAAGGTTCTTTTTAAGGCAGCAAGTCTGAATCTTTACTGTGCTCAAACATTTTATACAGTATACACTGCTACTCATTGGTTAAGTGGAGGACTTTTGGTTCCTTAAAGTCCATCTTACTATAACTTACCTGGATAAAAATAAAACTCAAAGGCCAAAACATTTTTTGTTCTGGATAGAGTAAAAAATGGTAAAACCTCTGTCAGGTTTTTTTGCTGTATACTAACGTGAACAGTCTCCTCTCACATCCTGTCTGTAGACACAACAGAAAAGAGAGGAGATGTCTCTGAAGATAGGGAGACCCTCTATTAGAAGGTCAAAAGTGTCCAGATAATCACAAGTTTACATAAGCCTTAGGGTATTAACAGCTCCATGTGGCTCAAGGGTGACCCCCTCCAATACCCACCCCTTGTTCTGTTTCTCCATTTTCCTGCTTACACTCCCAATCACTCAACAAGAATCTTTCCAAGAGTCAGATTATGCTTCACTGCTTATCCTATCTGATGATGCAGCTTATGTTATACTCCGATTGTTCATGGTATGTCTCTTTTTATCTGAAACCTTTATAAAATGTTTTATCAAATATTTTTAAAAGATCATAATGCAATATGGCTTTAACGTCCCTTGTTTTTCATATATGTTCTTTGAAGGCATCTAAAATAAGTGATCCTTGTTTACCATCTAAGATAGTGGTGGTTTTTATTAACTAAAAAGTAGATTTTTTTTTCTTTTTGATAGTATGGTGTCTATATGATAGGCTGCCTTTTTAAAGAGAGAGAGAGAGATTGCATCTTGTTTATTTATTACTTTATTTCCATAATTTTCTGGACTGATCTGCTTGAATATTCACCCATTATGAAGATGTTGATATAGTGTTATCAAATGAATTGCAATATTGACCAAATACCACAAATTCTAAATGTTGCCTGTTAAATAGATAACTTGTTCCTTCACAAAACTCAACTCTCTTGCCAGATCTGAAACAGTACCCCAAGGTTTAGAATAATCATCTTTCTATATAGTGTTAACTTTTATTTAAAAAGGTTGCACTGATTTGATTGTGGAAGATCTTGATATAGGCAAATATAAAAAAAAAACATATATGCTGTGCAGGCATAAAAGTGTTCTTTTGGTGACTATTTCCTTTCTGCTACACCCTACGCTTTCTTTCGAAAGTGAGAACACTAAACCACCTCTTCTGATAGCAGGGCAGCTTTTTCACCTGACATCAGCCATGTCCACAAGAACTACAGCAGGACGATCTGCGAGCTATTAGCTTGTGTATAAGTTGTTGGTCATGCCTGGCACCACCCCTGTTGTTTGTCCAATCCCGGCACTGGTAATACACCCAATAATTTGCATAAGGTGCAGCTTATGGAAGCTGTCGTTTGTTGAAATACCTACACTTTACACAGTAATGACATGCAGACCCTGAACAGTCCTGTCCTCTGCAAGGTCTATTCAGCAAGAGGAAGAGATCTGGGGACATAGAAAAAATATAAGCTATAAGACTCAGAGAGGCAAGTGAGTGCATTTTTAATAATATATTTTTGGAAACTGCTTTAGCATTGCATTGGACATCAAATTTGGAAATCTGTGTACATTATTATACAGTAGATGTACTGTAATGACACTTTTACAAATTTTGCTTTTTTAACTAAAGTTGTGTAGAAATATCTACAGCTGTCTTTATAATGCTAGCATGAACATATTACCTACCCATTTATAGATATGCAATAACTAACTAGTAACAAAATGAATTGTACTACTTTACATTGCAGCTTAAAAATCCACTAAAAGATGAAGTTTGGCTTTTAGGGACCAAGTTCCAGTTAAAAATGCTTCAAAAATATTATTCTGGTCACCCCAGTCCAATATCAACACATGTTATGGGCAATAAAATGTAGGTATGTAATCTTATAATTTTCAGAGTTTCCACAATTTATGGACTGAGCAAACTTCAGTGGAATTTCAGTCAAACTTTCAAATAAAAACATCAAAAAAGTTTCTACTTTTCTTCTTTTAGAAGTCATGATTTAAAAGTGAATTATCTGATAGCTTAAACTAATTACCAGATATTTCAAACTTCAAACAATAGTATTAAGGTTATGATAATAGATGTCAGATGTTTAATATTGTATTCTAACAAGCAGATGAAAACCATACCGGAACAATCAGGAATGCAAGACAAAAATGATGACAGTGTATTCAACTTTAACTCTGGACTAAATGCAATAGGAGAAAATTAACTTTGCTGGTTGTTCCAATATTAAACTTGTTATTGCACTTATTGTAGTTGTGTTTGATGAATCACTGATTTCAAGAATCATTCATGAATTAAAGTTGAACTCCAGGCAAATATAAAACACTAAATTAAGGAAACTCTGTGTCTATATGTACATCATTGAGAAGAGGTTAGACTGGGAGAATGAGAAGCAGCAGAAGCAACCAATATGGGTGGATGCAGTGCTCATGCACTAACAATGGATGTGGATAAGAGAAAAGAGAAGAGTGACAGTAAGATGAGTTCATCAGTCTGCTGCTTCTCCTTTCACTCTCCAGTCACAGGCTGGGGGAGGAACAAGGGGAGGGATCTGTGAGTGTTACTTAAAGCTAAACTTCAATAACAAATGTGGTGCTTCCCAACACACACACACACAACTAGGTCTAATTGCTTGTTTTGTCTATGGGGTAAGGAATAAACATGAATACTTGCCTTGTTCTCCTGGCAGCCAGGGCTCTTCTATGGTCTCATTTATGGGCAAGCCCTTAACGTCCTCACGTATAATCTAGGACTGCTGCAATGTATTTTGTGTTGACTGGAATTCAACATTACCTGTAGCAAAAAAAAAAATCAGACAGGTCTCCTGCCCTGCCAGATATGGCCATGTTGTGTGGCAGAGCTAGGTAAATATCTTAACTGATGAATAGAAATACAAATGATTTGACAAGTAAAACAGCTCCCTATATGTATTTTTCTGTGTATTTAGCGGTTTGCCTGGAGTTCATCTTTAATGGTGTTTATTTTCATAAATATTGGCTCAGAAGGCAATATGGATATTTTATTTGTGTAGATTTTAATAGCCAAATGTCTTTTCCCCAAAAGCAGGAACAGGAAACAAGTTACACCATTCTGCGAGCGAGAGGCACCAATGTGACGATTACTGGTCTAAAACCTGATACCACATATATCTTCCAAATACGAGCTCGAACGGCAGCTGGCTATGGATCAAACAGTCGCAAGTTTGAGTTTGAAACAAGTCCTGACTGTACGTATTTGCTTGTTGTGAACATCAATCTAACATTTAATATATATAGTATTTTAATTCATTTTAGTGTTTATCAGTTATAACCTATTGAACTGTATCTTCGTATATCTTGTTTTGAATACTGAAAATGTACTCTGCTCTAGTGCTGCACTGTAGTTTATCCCAGTGGTCAATCTTGTAGTCTAGGATCAGTTAGGAGAACAAAATAATTTTGGATTTAAAGAAAAAGGTTAAATCACACCCCAATTATTTTCAGTGATACCTTTTATATATTATCACATAGTTCAGTGCTCCTTTCCTTTTATATGCTGTTTATGTTATGTTGGATTACTGTGCCTTTTTATCATTAAAAAGTAGACTTTGACCTCCAGTCATGTGATTGTGCCAAGGTGCATTTCAGAAAAATTGTGTCATCAGTTTTGAGCACTAAACATACACAATTGTGCGAATTACCCCCCTCCCCCACTTCATGGTTACTTACCTTCTCCGAGGATGCAGCCTACGGCATTGTCTGCAGTATGATCTGTACAAATCTAGTGGTGGACTGAGAATGCATCTGCTCTCTAATGTTTCTTAGACTTGAACAGGACTATGGGGGTGATTTACTAACCTAAACACACACACACACCAGGTGTGTGTGATTTTCACACAGCAAAACGTATTTATCAACCAAAAAGTCTCTAAAAGCATATTTCCACTAATGCCATATATGGAAAAATCATGCACATGATGCATATATAATGCTGCTTCACAGTTTAGACAAAAATGGTTAGCTCATGCATTTACATTCTTGCATTCATCAACGCAAGCAACATAACATAGAGCTAATTTACACCACATTACCTTGCAATTCATTGCAGGGCTCTGCACAACACACCTGCTGGGTGTGTACACACTACAAAGGTGTTTCGATTCCTCCCATAGATCATGCTGGGAGGGAACACACTACAGAGGTGTATACACATTCGTGGTGTGTTTAAAAGGTTAGTAAATACACCCCTATGTGTCTATAGTACATGTACATCTCATGAGATCTTTACAGGCTGGGATGCAGACAACATGGAAAGTTGCCTCCAGAAGAGATATTTAGGCATTTCCTAAATACCTTCCTAAATGGTTAGTTGTGTAATTATGTTTAATGCTCCCAACTGACATTATTCTTCCAGATTGCACCTTCAAGCCTTGGCACTTTCACATAACTGCTGGAGATCAAGGACTGCTTTTTGATGACAAAAAGACACAGTTTTAAAAAAGCCAATTGCTGCTGCATATTGAGTATTCATGTAGACTAAAATTAAACCTAGGTCAACAGAGGTTGGTGCTGGAGAAGATGTTTTTATCTGCCACCTGTATGTTGAAGTCGTTATATTATTTTTTTTTGTCTAATTTAAAGTGTCCTAAAAGTAAGACCTAATTCTTGGAAGAAATACCCTTGCTGCAGTTGAACTCTAAATGTACTTTAAGCCAAATAAGTACTCATCAACCTCTTGTATTGAGGCCCTCTCATGGGTTCCCAATGAAGACTTGGAAACAAAACATCACATAAAGTATACTCACCCATCAAGTTTTGGTCACACCTCTCAGACTGGCTGAGGTTATGTTATTGCTGGGGGCCATTCAAACACACTTATATCAGACAATATTGTCTGCCAGGAGGCCCTGATCTGCTCCTGGCATTTAACTATTGGCAGCTGTAAACATAAAAGAAGCATTAATACCCTTTTACAGAAAATCTTGCTACAGAGATTGGTGAGGGCTTATTTTTTTATAAATTTACAGCTTGTTATGCATATGTAAATACATAAAAGTCCATAGCATGGCCACAGTTCTACTGTAATGTTGGCCCCAGAGCTGCTTATTCTTGCTATCCATTTCTCTATCTGCCACTCTGCTTGCCTTTTGAAAGCACAAAGAAGTCTGGGTAAGCTTCAAACTACAACCAGTTAACTCTTTACCAAATTCCATGTGACAGCACTACGTTTCTGAGTGGACATTTGAGTGGACTGAGTGGACATTTGCCAAGCACCAGTGCTGTCATGTGGATATAAGAGCAGTAAGTTCAATTTTACCCATCAAATGGGGCATGTCACTTCACTTTTACTGGCCAGATGGCAGAGGGGAGTGAAGGGAAGGTAAGCAAAAGCAGAAAAGTACAGGTTTAAAGTGGGGGCTCCCTCGCATCTCATCACAAAAAAATGGCCTGAGATGTAATTTTTTTTATAAATGAAAATAATAGTACATTAAATGGCCTTAGAATTAACATTTTATTATGCCATAGCCATTGCAAAATCCATGCTGAAAAAGGTGGTGAGGTAGATTAGAGCGAGCAATATAACCCTGTAAAAATCAAGTACATTGTTAAGGTATCCAAGTAGGACACCTATCACTGAATGCTGGGTAAAGTGCTCCCAAACTGCTGCATGCAGGAGTTTAGCTGTGAACGCACACCCAGAATCCCCACCGGTTTGCTTACAAACAGAAGCCTCCGGAGATCTGTCCTGTTATTTAGAAGCGTTAGCGCTTGTATGCAAACATCAGCTGGAGGTTCGGGTGGGCAAGCTGGCCAAATATGGTTTGTTTGCCCATTTGCCAAACTTTGAACAGGCTGGGTTTGAGTCTTGCTCATCTCTATCCAGCATGAAAAGAACAAAGTGACAATTTGATCTCGGCATGTCACCATATACTTAGAATACAACTGTCTACACAGCAGGAAGTTTTAGTGTTAGACTTTTATGCACCAAATGTGCCATCATCAGGATATTTAGTAGAATCCTGAAAATTGCACCATTGATGTATGCAATTAAGAAAATTTTATATTTTACCCTTTAAGATATCTAGCATCCTGTTGTATTGTGCCAAAAGGACTGCTATACGCATCATTAGTTAGTTATCAGAGTGCTTCACTCTCAGCACAAGTGTTGAAATAATCCGGCTGTAATTGGGTGTAAAAATGATGTCCTAACCCACAGTCATGTAAACACACGTTATTAGTGAAATACAATATGCCACCCACAGCTACATTGTTAGCATGGACTAGCGCTGGACCCTTGCTATTATTTTCACATGTGTTTTATCAAGTGAATTAAACTCAATTACACAGTTGTTCTTTAGATCACCAACTTGCTAGTTACTTTAAATAAATTTAACACACATTTGTTTTTGTTCTTTTTAAGTCATGACTGCTGTTTTTAAGTTCACTATGTGATTTGTTACAGAAAAACAGACTAAGGATTTAGCACTCCTGCCCAGCGTTAACATGAGATTTTAAAATTAATTGGGGTGCCAGTAAACTAAGTGAGGCTGTTTTGGTTAGATTTTACACTATTTTTTCTGTGAGCGGACTTGCCAAGTAGCCAATCTGGATTTTTATTTATTGAGAACAATGACCAGCTTTTCAGGATTTAAAGAGACATCAACACCAATTTATTTTTTCAATGGCTTGTTAATCTGGCTTGTTTGTATGCAGTACTTGACTCTCATTAGCGCAATATTTCTTTCAGATAACATCCCAGAAAGGCTACTTAAACTATATGATATGGCACAAGCCTTTTCTAGTTATTTTAGGAAATTGTAAAATACATATCGTTAAAGAACACATATTCAAAACAGAAATAGTGTTATGCAAAAATCCAGAGCAGCCAATCATCATTCTGTCTCAGAGATTACAGAAATGTATATACTGTGCGAAAGGAAGAAATGTATTAAAAAAGCATAACAGATCTGCCGTTTCAAACTATAAAAAGTTGTATATTTATTACCTACACCATTCTTTGATTTGCCATTTGTGCTGAGTCATCTACTGCTATACTGTGAATTGCCTGCATGGCTTTGTATTTCCTGCTGTGCAGATCTATTGACAAAACACACGGGGGAAAGTTATCAAAACTGGAGCAGCTTTGTAATTGAAAGATAGAAGCTGGTTGGTTAATATGGACAGCTGCTCCAGATTCTGTCAGCTCTAGTTTTGATAAATTCCGCTGATAGAGTCAGTAGAGAGACACCCCCTACCCCCTCTGATTCTATTTTCAAAATACACTAGCTCAGCTATCTATCTCACAGAAGATATATTAGACGATATCCATTTGATTGAAAATAAATGACTATTTGCTGTCTCTAACTATATTCAGTCTTATATGATGTGAAACATCCACAATGTTGCCAGAGAGAATGTTATATTTTGCAGGTAATTTTACTTACTATGTAATGGGATACTAAGCAATTTTATGAATATAATCTCTTACTGCTGCCTATTTTTCCTTGTGCTTTGAGAGCTATCCTTACAGACTTGGACCAATATAAACACAGCTTTGTTTACATTCAGCTTGATCGCATTTGCACTAATTTAATGTATTTATTTCTAGGAGCCATAATGATGACTTCTATGTTGCACTTAAGTAATCCCTTGAGAAGCTGACCACAAACTGTTTAAAGCAGTCAGCCTCTTCTTGAGTTTAGCAAAAAATCTTTCCATCCCGCATCCCATATGACTTCAAGTTGTGGGAAGCAGAATGTACATCTACAGAGATCCCTTCCTTGATGACTTTCTTGCACAATGTACATCTACAGAGATCCCTTCCTTGATGACTTTCTTGCACAATGTACATCTACAGAGATCCCTTCCTTGATGACTTTCTTGCAGTCTTTCAGTCCTGGTCTGTAGACGTGCCCACTACTCTGTTGCTAAACATATGCATTCTGTGGACACCACACACAATCCAGTTCCAAACCAAAAATCCTCCTATATGCTTGTTTCTTTAGGACCTTGTTCACAAGTTCATAGAAGGGGGCTCAGCACACATTCTTAATGGCAGTCAAGCTCTGGCCTGGAAAAAGTTTATGGAGCTATATGGCTCTTTATGCTCAAAAAGCTAAGGGAAGATTCAACTTTGTTTTGCACTACAACAGCATCAAGGTTATTGGCCCAACCTCAAACTGCATGCTAAATAAAGTCTATCTCACAACATTTTGTATCCAACACAGAATCAATCAGAATCTAACACAGCTAGAAGTAGTTAGTCATTTATCCAAACATTCTGTAATGTGAAATATGATGCATCACTCATCCAAGAGGCTTCCTCAGGTCAAACATCTTTTGACATAAGGTAGCCACTTCAAAATCATCTGCAGAACTTCACCCAACTTCATTAGGTACACACATAATCCATTGGAGCTGCTAAGGATTGTAATACACCAAAGATCATGGAACTCCATAGATAAGCATTGTATTCACCTAGAGCAGCATCACTTTATCTATCTATGAATGTCCTTAGAATAAGATCAGATTGATCTGTAGCTGCTAAAGATCTCTGCTACAAACTTACTGGTGTGACATGTCCATAACATTGTTCAGAGCTGGCCTGAACGTCATAATGATACATTATGTCCTGCATTCAGAACCGTGGTGTCCGAGGGCTGGTGGTGACCGTTGCTGCCTTGTAGCTTCCAGTAAATATTCCCCTGCAATTCACTATATTAATAAAAAATATACATTTCCTGGCAATTATTAGTTTTTAGAACATAAAGGGAGTTCTTCCATAAGGCATATTACTGCTCAAGTTTTGTTTCTATTGACAGGATTTTGCTGATTTTTGTCATCATTTTCTAAAGTCACTCGTGTGTCACTCCTGATGAACTAACACATTTTCTTCTTTTTATCCTTTCAGCTTTCTCCATTTCCAGTGAGAATAGTCAGGTTGTGATGATTGGCATCTCAGCAGCGATAGTAATTATCCTGCTCACAGTGGTTTTATACGTGCTCATTGGAAGGTTAGTTGTCTAACTTTTCTGCTTCTATAATATACATTGGATGTATATTTTTTTTTCCTGGGCTTGTCCACATATACATGCATGTTTGTGTCATTTATTATTGGAGATGTTAAAGTGTATTCAAACGCAAAACTTTTTTTGTTTTGGGTATAATAGGGAGGGGAGAGCAACCCTGTTACATTTTTACTGCTAATAAATTACATAAACCCAACATGTATTCACCTTGATAAAGAGGGCCATTGGGCTCTTAAAATGTGGGTAGTATTGTTGCTGATATAGGATTTCAGTAAATCTGACCATGTAGGTAATCAGTTTGGCATGCTGGCTTTTTGTCATTTATTGGATTTGTATGGTGCCACTGTTTAGCAGTGTACCCAACCATTCTACAGGGGTCACTGGATGTTTGTGCAGTATGGCGTTATGTACATTGGATTTTTAGTGCTGCCCCTAGTGACCATTGTTAGCACAGCTAACGGCAAAAGAAGATCTAAAATTTGGAGTTGCCACCCATACTAGAATAGAAAGGAATTCCAGGTTCCAGGGTTTTTAACCCAGGTAAAGCGAGTCACTAGCACTCCAGTGTAAATAACAAAGTGTCTCATAATCACAGGCGATGTTTCGAAACCGCAAGGTTCCTTCCTTCTGAAACGTCACTTGTGATAATGTGACACTTTGTAGTCAATAAATATTGACTTGTATTTATGTTGGAGTGCTAGTGACGTCTGTTTACCTAGATTCATTTTGCGGAGACATCTGCTGTAATTTTAGCACCCACCCACATTTTCTGGGTTCTTTCACCGGTCAGGAGTGCAATGGGCTTCTACGTGTTTTGAGGGGTTTTAACCTTCACTTACTTATCCAAAACTAGGCAATTCATACACTGTAATATAGGGAAAAGCGAAAACCCTATCAGGTTATTTTTGCTGCATGTGTCACACTAGCAATATTTTCCTTCACTTTCTGTCCTGGGGATCCAACAGGAAATTAGAAGAAATTTATTTAGAGTGAATTGAATTCCTGGCTTAGAGATGTGCCGTAGGAACAGGTATCCCCTATTGGAGGATTCTCTCTGCTGACAACTTAAAATGTTTGGATCTCTGATCACTTTCTGCTACGGGAACAAATTGCCTCCACAACAAATAAAAAGATGAATCTTCCCAGTGGGTACAAAAAGAGAAAAAAACCTTCCCACTTGACAAAGGATCAAAAACACTTGACAAAGGGTCAAGCAGTTGTTCCCTACATTTCTCAAAGGGACTAACCCTCCCCTACTCTATCCAAAAATGTATAAAGAATGCCTTTACATACACTGTAATAATCAGATATATGTACATTTCTGTTAGAGGTAGGGTATTTTTCTTTTTCAATTAATTTTTTGTTGTTGGAAGTTGTAAAGTTTTCACTGTACAACCAGTATGAATGACACTGTATATACAGAAGGTTATTCAAAAGTTAAAGTTTGTGAAACATAAAACCAGAAATAACAAAATACTCAAATTACAGAGTCATAAGTAATAGTCATGAAAATAGAAGGGAGGCCCATACAATCCCAGTACAGGGTCAGGAATGGATGGGGGGACCCCAAGTCTCGAGGGACCAGGGAAGGTAGGATATTTTTTTGAACTTACAAGTTGTGCTAACTTTAAGGTTTGAAGGTGAAATGTACACCTGCGGTTATTTTATATTTGAGATTCTACATTATTAAACATTACAAGCTGGCTCATGAAGAAGAGATTTTAATTATGTTTATGGATGAATATGTAAATGTTTCAGGAGATGATTGTAACAACAGGTGCTTAAAATTAGGAAATTATATGTTTCAACTCACATCTGACTTTCTGTCCTGTTGTGTCATAGAAGGAATAGATCAGTTTTCACTTGAATTCCTTCGCCTTTGCCTATAATTGGAAACAAACATAAAGAAATAGCACAACCCCGCCAGTCACTTAAAAAAATAAAAATCGATGTGAAAGTCTTCTGCAAAAGAAAACCCCTCATACTCAACACTCTGGTGGCCCATATCTCTAATAGGTGCAATGAGGTAGAAAGAAGTTAACATTCCTAAATCAGGATCAGACATGGGTTCTCAAGAATTGTAGTGCCTGCCCCACCTGCTACCCCTCTTGCTATAACCCTAAAAAGTAAAGTGTATCTAACACCTAACCTTTCTTCCAGTTTTGCATACAGTAGAGAGGTTTTTTTCTGTCTTTGTCTGAGAAGATGTCCCTTCACTTTCAGTCCCTGAGATAGGAAGTAAGAGGAAATCTTTACAAAGAAAGGAAAAAATCACTATTTGACAGTTACCACTGGAGGAGGTGTCTCCGTTAGGACAATGCTTTTTTTTCTCAGCTCCTCCTGATGAAAAGTTTAAAATGTTAGTTTTCCCATCACCTTCTGTCTTGGTGACAATGGTCACCACTACAAATAGAGAAAGGAAATCTCTTTATATGGAGGCAGCTGATGGAAATGGATCACTAAAAGTTTTCCTGTTACCGTTCAATAGTGTGGAGATGATTTAGATCTGTGGCATTTGAGCAACAGGCTCGCAGCTTCTGCACAGCAAAGTGCATTCATGGTCACATTTAGACTGACAGAACTGGATAAATTTGGGATTGAAGTGGGATTGAAAAATTCAGATACAAGTATATTCAAATGGAAAATTAGATTGCTCTAACCAGCTGTTGACAAACAACCTGCCAGACTAAAATCTTCTATATCAAAGTATCCCTTTAATATCAAGTCTGCATATATTGCTTTTTATCTCCTAATGAAGTCCTAATGAAGAAGGCACAGCTCCAACCCCTGATACGCATTGCCTTGGATTACAATTGTCCTTCAGATTTTACATTGGAATAAACTTGAATCTGTAGCTATAAACTTTAGCTTTAGATATACTTTTATTAGAAGTATTATACTACTGAACAGGTTAGGAAAGTAGGCAGCTATTATAGAAAGCAGAAGCATAATTGTATATTTTTGTTACTTTTATGTAATTTTACTGCTTTTACTGTATATATGTACTTTACATTGCCCATGTGCTAGGTGTACTGTACATTCAACAAGAAAACAAAATACAATACACAAAAAGGGGTTTGTTGATTTGGTTTATTTCATAGGTTATTGCAGGAATTTTCTATCTGTTAACATAATCATTCATGTTTTCTTTTTGTACATTGTCAAGTGTTTGCTGTTTTCTGTAGCTATATTTCACACCTTATTAAATCAGATTGCCTGAGATTTGACCTGTGTACGCCTGATTAAGTTTACTATCTCATGCACTGTGTTATTTCTATTAAAGCCAGGTGTGACATCTTAGGCACTTAGGAGAAGCCTGGGTTGTGTGCACTGATTATGTGTAAACTACGCTGTGCAAGTGGCTTTTCAAGCACTGCCAGATTAGATTTCATAACCACATGGACCTCAGGTTTCCCTTGTGTTTCTATTAAATTGTCCAAAATCTCATTCTTCAAATTTGTCGAGCTCAATGCACACGTGTTTTCCTGCAGATTAATGCAATGTTTTAGATGTTAAGGTCCATTACTCTTTGATCCATTGGTTCCAGCTATAGCGGCTTGACTTGTTATTTTGGGTTTTGTGTTGCTTGGGATACATTTTTGGCAGATTTTTTTTCTGTTTCCTCAAGAGGCAATCCCATAGGAAGATTGGGCGTTCCATTGACATACCGTATATAGCTGGGAGAGAGATGTGAGGTCATAACTTATTATGCCTGCAGCTTCCTGAATGGATAAGGGCTGATTCTTTCACACAGTCACTTTTTGAAATCATATTCAGAGCAATAATAACGGGTTTAATCATGTTAGATCCTAGGAGAATCAATAAAAAAAGCACATTTAAAAGGGATTCAAGATTTACACAGCTGGAAGCGCTAAACAATCTAACATCATTAAAGCAGGCCTTATTCCACCAAGTACCTGACCCAGCACATGAACCCAACTTTTTGACTGTTGAGCAGTAACCTTACCAAGCTGTACAGGGATCATTAAACCTCTGCTGTCTACTTTTGCTGAGATCTTTACTAAATCGTTTTAATGATTTGTTGCACCTGTAGATAGAACTGTCCTACTATTTGAACTTTTTTTTTCAATATCTATACTTTTAACTACCAAGGGCTTTATTTTGCTGACTATGAGGCAATTATTAAGCTCAGATAATGTCTTATATAATGGCCCAGTCCACCTATAAGTGATATTCCATTTCAGGATAAAGGTTGCGTTGCGTAATCACCCCCAGGCTTCATATATCTCACAGAAACTCTGGCAACAATATCTATGCATCTGTTTTCAGATCTGCTTACAACTTGTGACCATTGTGAAAGGGTCACACATTTGCCATTGTATTCTTCATGTATTATAATAAAGATACTGCAGCAGAAAATGTCAGGATACCTTGTTTGGCTTTGTAATGATAGCAGTGGTTGTCAGAGGCAATAACTCATATAAGGCCTTCCCAATTATAGCCAACTACTGGTCAATTCAGTCTTCTAGTGTCGCTCAGACTGAAATGCCATGGGTAGGTATGTTGTTTAGTAAACCTCTTTACTATCATTAGACATTGACCCTATGCAATTATGCATAGCCTTCAATTAGATACCATGTTTTTCTTACTCTAATAAAATCAGCCTGGAGTCAGTGCAATTTGAAGTTTTATAATATTGGATATCCCGAAACTATACAGGCGGTAGAGACATGGAATGAACATTCTGATGTTGCTGGTACAATGTTGGTGGTAGAGGCTCAACTAAATGATCCTGCCTCTGTGCTAATTGCAGGAAAGCTGTTACTTACATTTTTCAAACCAGTTTCTTTTGATTTGACTACCTTCATCTGCCTCCCTAGCTTTATATAATTCCTTTGTCTATTTTGATTAATATGACCCACATCCACCATATTGACTTGCTACATTTATAAACGTGCTTTCCTGTTCTAAAATTGATCCTAAACTGCATGAATAGTTAAAGTGACACTGAACTCAGCAGTTAAACCACAAAAATGCATTCAAGTACCGTAACTATTAACCAAAATGTATCTTATTTGTGTATCACTCAGCTGTAGATCCTCAAATCATTTCTGAATTTGTGCTGACACTGTCCTTCCTTCTGGAGGGTGGCTACTTTTATAAGTGTAAATGGGCCCATAGAGTTTCCCTATTACTTTCACCATTGACATAGCCACACCATCAGCCACATAGCAAAGAATGGGATTGACATGCATTTCCTTGCAGCAAAATGCAAGATGGACAAGTGTCATAAGGTCCTCAAAGGAGTGAGTGTTGTTCATATAGGATGCACTAGGTGTACATTTAACACATGCATTAAAAGGAATCTGTCCAGTCTTTTAAAAAATCTTCATAATGGTTCCTTGCACTGCAAGACTGTGAACACTAGGCTCTTCAGTGGGCACTGAGTCTGAACTATTGTGTCTTCCAGTGCTGCAGCCTACACCTAAGTGTTTAACATTCAACACTTCCAGGAGTGTCAAATGCTTGTATCTTCCTCTGCTCTTACTTTTTACATTTTACTGGCATTGTGAAGTAACCAATGGTTTTGCAGCCTTCAATCTAAATCTTGGGTTTTATAACATAAAACTGCATGGAGTTGGGGCTTGTGAAGCTGATATTGCTTGTAAATTGCAAATAATTTTTCAGCATTTCCAGGCAAGAAATTATTTTAATATTGCATTGTAATGATAAAATAAAACTTCAGCCAAAACTTTATGTTTTTTAGCAGTAGCATAGTGAAGCGTATCTCATATATCAGGTGTTTATTCCTAGCTGTAACTCCAGTGAAAAGATTTAACTTCAGTTCTACCATATAGAGGGATCACAGGAACAGCAAATGAGAGGAAATACTCCCAATGGAACGCTTGTTCCGCTGACCACTATCACTGATATCTTTTCCCTTCACTTTTAGAAGATTTTTCATGGCAGAAAGTGAAGAAACGTCTCTCTTCACTTTCTGTAATGACAAATCTTCCAAGTGAAGGGAAAAGACACAAAACATTTTTTCATTTTAATCTGGAATATAAGAGAAAAATGCTAATTTGGTTTACTGTATTTGCAAGCTTTCCTAACAGAGAATTCCCTTGAAAGATGGAGCCTACCTTTATTCCACATGAGTAGGGCTGGAACCAACTAATCGATAATGAGAATAGTTGCCAACTGTCCTCATTATTGATTAGTTGGTTGGATCCATTAGCTCTCTCCTCCATGCTGGGAGGAGGGCACAGCAAGCAGTGGACGGGTGCAATAGCCAGCCTGCTATTGGCTATTGCAATTTGAAATGGCCAATAGCAGGCTAGCTATTGCACTAGCCAACTACCTGCTGTATTTACATTCAGTTGCCGTCTGTGGAATCTTGTCACTGGCAGCTGTCATTCCTCAGCTTAAGCATTTCAAGCGCTGTTTGCTTACAATACAATTATTATTATTTTTAATTCTAAAAGGTGGGAAAAAAAGTAATTTTCCGTTACGGCCTGACAAATTCTTCTGCAGGAGGTGCGTTGAAGTACCATTAAATTCAATGGCACCCCAAACGCGCCTTCCGCCCACAGTGTGCTCGCCCACTGCCCGTTCATTCCAGTGCAGTGCGATTGCAAAAAACTATGCATACAGTTCATTCTGAAGTAAACCTAATGTTTGTAACACTGCATGTGTGTATTTTATTTTAAATGAAGGATGGTGTTTATTTAATTTTTTTTATCCGATTAAGCAAAAAAATAAATCGGCCAACTAATCCATTATGAATATAATCATTAGTGGCAGCCGTACACATAAGTCAGGTTGGGTGTCCAGTTGATACATCTATGCCTGGCTTTATTTCAGCCAATTTTCTCCAATTAGGTCAAGTGACTGAAGTGTTTATAGAATTCTTATGAAGCCCTTATTTGTCATCTTTGGCCATTTGATGACCTGCCCTCCATTTACGTACTCTAGCTATGGCCATAACAATGTCTTATCATAAAGTCAACATGTTTTTCTATATCATTGAGGAAATGACTGCTTGTGTTTGCTCTTGTAGGTTTTGTGGATACAATAAATCGGTGCACAGCCCAGATGAAAAAAGACTCCACTTTGGAAATGGTCACTGTAAGTAGTGTGATTTATAACGTCCATTTAACACAGATCATGTGGGAACAGTGCATTCTTATTTGTATTCCCTTAACTGGAGTTCTTCACTGAATCAGAAAGATAAAAGTGAAGAAAAGAAAGTGTAAATTTACACATATGTGACACCTATTGGTTATTTTGCTTATTGCAATATGTAAAGGAGAACAATGGGATGACATGCTGTAAATTTCATAAGGCATGCTAAACCAAGTTTTAAACAGAAAGTGACCAGAACAATGTCTAGATTGTCTGTTTTCTGCAGTTAATGAACAAATTCATATTTATCTTAAAGATAAACTATTGTGTACTTTCAGTGTCTATATATGTTGTTGTTATTATTATTATTATTATTATTATTATTATTATGTTTACAATAAAGAGAAATTTCACCCCCTTTGTTTTTTTAACCTTCCCACTTAATTTTTACTTGGTTTCTTCAATCAACATACTCATCCACCCAGCAGATCTAGTTTTGCTTTGCTCCTCTGCTCTGCCACTGGAATCTGGGTCCCGCAACACCATCATCCTTTCCATTGTCTTCGGAGCTGGCTGTCTCTCCCTAGTTCAAGCAGCCAGCACCCGGATGACATGGGCTAGATCCTGTCTCTCCCATCTGCTGTGTATGGAAGATAGTGAGGGGAATTTACCGCAACAGGAGTAGACAAAATCTGGAGCAGCTATGCACGGCAGCATCTGTCATTTTCAAATCTTAACTGAACAAACTAAAGAGAGAAGCTGATTGGTTGCCGTGCACAGAGTGCTCCAGATTTTGTATGCTCCAGTTTTGATAAATTCCGCTCAATGTCTCCCTTGATGTGCATATTCCAGGATGCACCACAAGCACTGTTGGGGGTGGGGGACTGTTTGTCATGGAGTGCAAATATTAAAGAAAAAAGTAAATAGACAAAGCAAAAAAGTCAGCTTTTTAGATGGGGGGGGAGGCAATTGTGGAAAGTCATATTTGGTGTTAAAGTCCACTTTCAAGAGACACTGTCATTAGAACACATCTCCCAATAACAGAGGCATCTACAGTGCGCTGCAGCACACCTACACCTTTGTGTGTGGCATTGCCCTACACTGAAAAATTAATTCGGGATCTATTTTTTGCACATTGAGGTGCGTTTACATTCAAAAGAAGTGAGTTGTCTAACACAACCAGTCTCATTGCACGAAAATGCATTATGATGTGGTTGGGCCATAAAGATTGCACAGGGATGAGAAGATTAGTATAAGCATCTGAGGGGGGCTGCACTAAAGTTAACATGTTTGTTTGCCATTTATTTTATTTATAGTTTATCCCAACCCTTGTTGCTGTCACTTTTTCTGGATAGCCTTGTCTGCATATTTATGTAGATACAAATATAAATTATGTCTATAACATATACCCAGTTATCATAATACCTTTTTTTTGTAATAGTAACCTTATATCTGGTAAGGAACTACATATACAGTATGTGAGATGTTTTATCTGCCAAAGGGATTTGTATTGCTATCCTTTCAGTCCAGAGATGTATACAGTCCATCACATAGCACAGAAAGGTGAATGACACCACTTTATCTATTACAGTTAAGGAATACAATGATGTCATCTCCCTACCCCTCACCTGCTGGCTGGACAGTGAAGGAGCAAAAGGAGACTGATGATGTCACCCCTCTGCTCAATCTGCTCTCTCCTCCAGTTAGTGTGTTCCTTTTCAGAATATTTGAATACAGCTTACCCGATTGTCCCTCCCTCTCCCAGTAGGAGAACTTCAATACAGGGGATTAAAAGAATACTTACACTGGGTGCGTTTAAAAAAAAAATTATGATTCATTAATGACAGCAAATCTGTGTGATAATGTGTGTCTTTTATATAGTGCAACTTCAAGTGAAGAATATTGTGGATGGACTGTGATGATGTTGTTTCTAAGTAATTACTGATCAGTGGCAGATTTTTCTTCCTGTTTGGTAAATGTCTGGTGCCAGCTTAATGGCAGAAATTGCTTTCAAATTATGCTGATCTAGCTGAAGATTTTGTGATGGCCATAAACAGAAATAAAATGTGGATAACGTGTCCCACCAGTAAATATGTAATTTGCACCAGGAGGCTGATACAGATGGATGTGTAAGCTGCATGAATGATTATTACTGCGGTGTAGTTAGAACAGGCTTGATCACTGGACTGTATCATGTGGCTTCCAACCACGTGCCTTCCACATTGATTAGATCATTCAGATCAGTACCAATGGCTAATGAAATGGTCTTCCATTATCTAAAGAGATGTTTTTACAATAATTAGTTCTCCTCTTCCCAGTTGATTCATAATGAGACTGGTCATCACTTGAAAATTCAGCAGGCTTGGGAAAGCTGGAAAAACATTACAATATTGGGCAAAATCCAGTAATTTATAGAAGCCAATTAGGTTTTAGAGGAGTGAATGTTGATGACACATGTTTTATATGGGGAGGGGGAGATTCTGTTAGTCACTTGGTGCCCACAGTGTTCCCTAGACTATATAAGGAAAAATTATGGTTTCTGCTGAAAGCCCCCCTACTGTGGCCGGGTTCAGACATCTGAGAACAAATAATGCATGCGGTAACATGCTTTTAGTGTGTTAGTGCACAGTAGCTCCATTCATTTGGTATGCCAACTCAATTTACTAAGGTAATGCACCTGTGCTGTAGTGCACCTCAATGTTGCATTCCCAAAAAGGATCAGGTGCGGCATTAATCATACTGGGGGGCCGTTGGCAGTTCATTCAAAATAAATGGACTGCCTTAACACAATGCACATTGACACACACGTAACACGGTTAATGTGCCTTTGTTACCGCACCATGGAGTTGTGAATCTGGATTGATACTCACCTTTGCAGTGCTACCCCACTGTTCTGTTCTTCTGTCAGATTCCTCGGAATGACCCAGTGCTTTTAGGCAAGTGGAAGCATCTGAACTTTTTTATTTTCTCCCAGAAAGCAGTGCTCCAACCTGAGCGTCCAATTCCAAAGCTTAAACAGTGTCACCTGTAGCACTGTAGAAGGCTTTTAACCCTGTGCAAGCTCCATCACCTTGACAAAGTTAAGTTCGGCCATACATTAGTAGAACTTCATTGAAAGCATTAGTTTTCAGAAAGTCCATTCATCTTTCTCATAGTTAAAGCAGAAGTAGAGTCAAAAATAAAAAATCGCTAGGGGGTAGGGATTTTTGGCAGAAGAGACATGTAAAGTCTGTGTACTCTGTACTATGCATGCACCATGCAGTGTGCACTCTCTGCTAAATCATCTTTAAGATGCCATGACTGGGCCTATTGCCTGGGAGAATGTAACTCCTGTGAACATAATAAGTAGCCACCCATTGACCAAAGATGATGCCTGGGAATGCTGAAGAGGCAAGGCAGATAGCGGAAGAATTGTTAGACTGAAAATAGATTGCACATCGCTGGTGAAGAGCACAGTTGTAAGTGGCTAAGAAGTGGCTAAGTTGTAAGAGCAAAGTTGCAGCGGTTTACTACCATTTTAATGGGGTCAAATCAACTGGTTTTGGCCTAAACAAATGAAGGAGCAGGATAAAATGTATTTTTAAACAAAACTAAATTCTAACAGCAAATATGTTTTTTTTGTTTGGGAAACCCCATCCATTTGCAAAACTGAATGGTAAAATCAAACAAAATTTTGAATGACATTTGTCAAGTCTCTGATGGTGTTATTGAATGTTCTCTTGAGAATTTTCGTATGAATCTATCAGTGCATGGCCAACTTTACACATGGTTTAAGATATTCTGATGCAATAAATTCTATATATTCTGATGTTGTGCTGCTTTGGCTAGCTGCTTGTGCGTGCTGTACCATTTGGTATAATGGATACACTCTCAGTGCTTTTTAAAGTGACCGTAAACTCAGTTAAATCTTAAAAATGCATTCAAGTACCCTAACTATTAACAAAAATGTATCTTATTTGTGTATCTTATTTGTGTAGCTCCTCAAATCATCTCTGAATTCATGCTGACACTGTCCTTCCTTCTGGAGGGTGGCTACTTTTGTTCCCCATGGTCCCTGTGTATATTGTAATGTAGCCACCGCTACACGTTCACTCCCGGAATGGACTACAATCTCAATACAAATTAGTAAACTAAACGTGAGATTGTAGTTCATCAGGGGAGTGATCATGAAGTTGTGGCTACTTTACAACACACACAGGGACCATGGGTAAGAAAAGTAGCCACCCTCCAGAAGGAAGGACAGTCTCAGCATGAATTCAGAGATGATTTGAGGATCTACAGCCAAGTGATACACAAATAAGTTAAATTTTTGTTAATAGTCAGGGTACTTGAATTAATTTTTTAAGACGTAACTCCTGAGCTTAGTGTCACTTTAAATCTATTGTATGAGATTTAAAGAAACCACACCACGTTTTTTGTTTACTGTATTGCAGATGCACCCCTGAATATGAATGAGGTTTAAAAAACCATGTGAAGTAAACTCTTATGCAGTTCCCATGTTCCCCTAATTCATGAGAAACACATTTAAAGAGTATTGGTATGAACTGCCCATAAATGGATCTGAATGCATTAGTTTTCAGAAAGTCCATTCATCTTTCTCATAGTTAAAGCAGAAGTAGAGTCAAAAATAAAAAATCGCTAGGGGGTAGGGATTTTTGGCAGAAGAGACATGTAAAGTCTGTGTACTCTGTACTATGCATGCACCATGCAGTGTGCACTCTCTGCTAAATCATCTTTAAGATGCCATGACTGGGCCTATTGCCTGGGAGAATGTAACTCCTGTGAACATAATAAGTAGCCACCCATTGACCAAAGATGATGCCTGGGAATGCTGAAGAGGCAAGGCAGATAGCGGAAGAATTGTTAGACTGAAAATAGATTGCACATCGCTGGTGAAGAGCACAGTTGTAAGTGGCTAAGAAGTGGCTAAGTTGTAAGAGCAAAGTTGCAGCGGTTTACTACCATTTTAATGGGGTCAAATCAACTGGTTTTGGCCTAAACAA